TCATATTCGTTTATCTCCAATATCAAATTCTCCGTCTCTCGGCCGTTTCTCCCGAAAAATCTAAAAGATTTGAGCCGGAAGTACGTAAGGAGTACGGAAAGAAAAAAATTTGTCCAAAATTGCTACGTGCCCATGTACATAGATATACAGATATATATCTCTACATGCATATACATATGTATATACGTACGCATCACATACACCGTGCGTGCACCAAATCCAGTTAACATGTAAAAATTGAACCATCGAGAAGTAGTGTCTTCGCGAAGGGCCTCCTCCGTACCGATTTCACCATAAAATAGTCCCCTCGCTTCGACGCTGATATTCCCAACTATATGTACAGTGAGAAAAGAACTTTTTTTTTCTAGTCCAAACAAAACAATACATATATATTAATGGTTTGTAATTGATTTTTTTTTTCATTACTCGACACTCCAATTTTTTCTACAGAATTCGAATGACCGTTACACGTGCACGACACGTTGTTATAAATTAAGCTGGACGTATATACATGCATATATATATATATATATTTTGGAGATTGCCTATATTGTCACTCTATCCTTATTATAATCACAGACGTGTTTTTTTTGTCTAGTTCCTACATACGCAGAGTCTTCTTCATTCTGATATTCTTAGAGTGACGTCATATGATCAACGCGATAAGAGCTGCTGGTCTTTAATTCTTCTTATTTATATCTGTCTTTCTCTAACACGCATTCTAGTACCTATATGCCATTTATCTGTCGCTCTCTTTCACTCTCATTCAAGATCTTATTCCATTTTCTCTCTCGCTCTTTTATACTTTATAACTCATTCTCTCTATCTCTCTCATGCGCGTTGTTGACTCTCGGCTTCGATGCACAGAACAAACGAGAAATATAACTATATAGTGAAATTACGTGTGACGACATAGGTCATTAAAGCGATTGCAGGTTTTTTCCTGTTTTTCTCGAAGAAAAAAAAAACCGTGTATAGACGCAACGACGATGTACAGGTCAATTTTTTAAAATCTATATATATATATACACATATATATATCACGCGTTAATCACTATCAGTGAGTATGTAACTCTTGAAGTGTTTGAAAAAAAAAAAAAAATTCGACAGGGTGAAAAGAAACTAAAAAAAAAAGGAATAAATGGGATTTAGATATCAGTACATCGATTTTTCGGTTCATTCGGGTCTCTCAAATCATTCATTCTCTCTATCCTCTCAGTCAGCGTATCTAACATTCTGTCTCTTTCTCGCAAAAAATTATCTCTCTCACACACACTCACTTTACCCCCAGTATACGCTCGCCCCCCGTTCGGTTTACCGTTATCGCCAAGAGATCACAGTGCTTTTTTTTGTTCTTTCCTTCAGCCGTATCGTGTCACGGGACACTTCTGCCAGGTCCTGGTTTCAAATTTTCGTTCTCGGCTTCCTGCGGTTGGTACGTTGACGGGCATACAGAGAGATCGTAGCTACTGGTGTACATTGGATGAACATACATTGTGGAACATCTTCTTGAGGTTGTTCTAGGATTGTCCCACTTGATGGCTCCTTGGGCTCTACGTCGGGGAGAATTGTGACGAGATAAAAGTGGAGCGTGCATTTTCAGTATTTATGTTCGTGTTGTATAACTGGAGAGTGTGTATACAATCCTCTTCAGTACGCAAGGGACGACTTGTGGCAGGCAGGCAGGCAGGCGAGTTTCTCATCGACGTCAAAATGGCGGTGCGTCGGTACGACGTGGGGGGAGACAGCGTGGCCGAAGAAGGAAACTTTCACCGGTGTCTATAGCTCTGAACTTTATCGTAAATACACGGTCCAGACTAGAGGGTGGAACGTGGGTTTGTAATTTTTTTTTCCATAGAGAGAGAAACCGGAAACCATTGACGATAGCGATTTCGCCATTGGCGCGGATACGACTGTCCTCTGATTCTTATTGCAGGGAAGTTGCACGAGCATGGGACGCCAACGAGCAAGAGAGAACGTCACCGATGCTTGAGATCAATCGATAACACGTCCAGGTGAAACGTAAATGCTTGCAAATTGATGGACTCTTTCTTGGATTAGATTCTTCCTTGGACGCGTAAAATATTATAACGGCTCTTCCCTGTGCGACGATCAGACGTGGTGATGCTGGATACATGCGATGTGATGCTATAAAAATCGGTGGATGCGCCAAACCGTGGGCGGGGATAGGCGCGACTCGCCAATCAGAGACTAGAGTTTTCATCCGTTACGATGGATTCAGCCAATCGCGTTGTCGTTAAGGTTTCTGAATTCAAACTTAAAAAGAACGCTCTCTCTAGTCTGTACCAAGATGCTGGTGGGAGAAATATGTATATATATGTATATACTTTGTCTAGTCTCTATTGTAATTGTTCATTTTTCACTCGTTCATTCACATCGTCTGAATTATTATATCGAGCCGTCGGATAAAGTGTTTCTTGTACCGTTCAAGGATCCATCTTGTAGAAATTACGCAGGCAATGCTTTTTTTTTTTCTTATGATCAACGAAGAAGACACGTCGAGCTGGACGTAAACAGGATCACGATGAAGACTATGCTGATCATACGATGCCATTGACCATTGAAGCTTCTGTATTCGTGACAGCGAGAGGTGGTCCACGATGAAGAAGTAGATTTATTCTTGTAGATGATATATGTTTATAAGTCGTGTAGTTGAAGTTTAATGGATGCCGACAATGCGGGTAAGTCTTCCGATGGTTGACATTGGGCTATGTTCGTCGAGGAGGGATGTCCCGTGCGAGAGCGTGGTAAAATAAAAAAAAAGATTCGAAGGAGAAAGGTACCGAAATAGGAGTAAAGGGAACACGGCGATAACGAAGCAATGTCGCGTCTTATTAAAGGCGTCTCAGACGCTTCAACTAGAGACAAACGCCGCGATCTGTTCGCTAAACTGAGTGTGCTCCAAAAGTAATGAATCCTTGCAGCTCTCGAACTGCTGCGACTCCTCGGGTTCCGGTTCCGTGCGCTCGTAGAGAACGCAGATCGAGCCGTTCTCGCCGATTCTGTACGAGACTTCAGACGGGTCGATCCACATGGTGAGCTCGCTTGGAAAGAGGCTATGAAGTACAGTTGGTAGAAGACCGACATTTGCACCTGCCTGAGCTATAACTGGATCCATTTTGCCATTGATGCGAATGCAACGGTACCCAGAGCCACGGTTTGGTCGGTCTGGGAACCAGTGATCCCTATATCTGTGCCGTAATACCTCTGTCAAAGAGGATTTGAACATCTCTAGCTGACGCTCCGATAATTGTCCAGCCTGAAGTCGGAGTAAATGTACGAGAAAGTCTGCAGCGGAAACGATTTCTAGCCTCATGGTGACAGGTTGACGGTAGATCCCTCGATGAAGATTGAAGTAATGGTGAAAATTGTCACGGTGACAATGACGAGGACGATGATGATGCACACTCAGCCCCTTTTATTTCACTTGGTTCGCGCACGCACCCTATACATGTAACAGGTCACGGCACACAACGAGCCACTACTTTTGATACGGATAAGGTCTCAAAATGGCGTCGCCACGTCCCGTAGCGATTCGAACAGCGTTTACACTCCAGCGCGAACGGGATACGCGTCAGGATTACTGCGGATACCGGTATGACGCTCGTGACGCTTGACACGGTTTGCTTTTATTCGCAGAAGCACCAAGTCTTCTGAGATCTCGACACGGCTGCTAGACCCAACGCGTAGTCACACACGGAATAGCTCCGAATTTCGTACACAGAGAGTCTTTCACTCCGTGGTGGCTTTTCCTACTGTTTATCGATCTGTATTACCACTGGCGTCCCGACGTATCGGTAATCAATGGCGTTCTTATATACTCTCAAGCAGGTATACCGTGTGTCAGGGTATATAGCAACTTTCTCGTTTCGATAAACGTTCCACTCTACTCGCGAACCGCACCCTTTGACTACCGACGACTTTCTAATGGTTGCGGACGTCGGTGCTGCCGAGGTTGGCTCGTCTCTTTGTTCCCCTGGGGTACGGAGTGGGGATAAAACTTATCGACCAATCATACTCCCGCTTACCCCACCATTCAACGTGTCACGTGATATCCAGCTGCGCGACAGTGGATGCGCACAATTCACAACCGGACCGTATACGAAATGACGAACACATACTACCTATTGAACACGAAGCTAACCCTGGAAAAGGATCTTCTTTTTAAGAAAGAATGAATACACTACTATTCTCGATTATATCCTCAGGCAGGTAGACCCAAAGTACCTTACGGAACGTCATAAACCAGTAGACGGTACCTGAATTCTTTTATCCAGCATGTACGAAATTTCAGGTATAACTACGTACGTCAAAATTAATCGTATAACTTTATCCATCTGATCTACCTTACTAAATATTACAATCCTCTACCCTCAAAATTTCTCGCAGAAAAGACTACTCTCTTCAGCCAATCAACCTCGTAGTCTCCAAAACTGCCAACTCAAAGACGTCGGCAAGGTAAGAGCGTCAGTGATGGAAAGAACAGGAAACGCAGCGTCGGCGAGTCGACTAGAAAGCGTATACACCACTCGAGCACACTCGTTCGCTTGGAAACTTCATGACGACGCGACTCCAAGATCTCACGGCAACCCGACGCCATATTGCTCAGCGTCTCTTGCCGTGTTTCGCTGCCTAAATGAAAAAGGTTGTCTCTACGTCTATAGCTGCTAACATATTTCTTTTTTACTTACGAAAACCTGCTACTACCTGGTCGTTCCAGTGAAGGATATAACGCTACCCATAACCGGTATCACTTCTCCTCTAGGTATCTACACGACTCGACTATACCTCTATATAAATATACTATCTGCCAGCCTGTCCTACCTGGATACATTGGCTCCACGTATCTACATAGCATACAGCCGTTCGCACATCCATGTAACTATCATACGTTATGTGCGAGCCAGAGAGCGCAGTAGCTAGTCTAGTTTTGTGGGACTGCCGGGACAAAAAACATAGTGCAACCTATGCCGGCCATAACGGAACATTTCACCCATTATAATGCCACGCGTAACCCCGCGCTTAGCAACTGTCGTCGAAAGTTTCTATCACAGTTCTACGGTACGATCTTCGGGCACTATTTTCTATTTTTTTTTTTTTTCAAATACATTTTTATTGCAATACAACTCCATTTTAGCGGGTCGCTCACCATGAAGATAATCGTTTGAACGTACCACTTGCTCCAAGGATTTTATATTACGAATCCGTTAACCAGTTACAGCAAACATCTTGTAGGCAGCTCAACAGGCTTTTTTAACGCAGTCAAATTTACCTATGAAAATTTCGTATTTACCAATTGGACAATTGGCTGAGGAATATCACGTATGACATTTTCTTTATACCGGAATACCAGTCAACCATTCTATCTATATCGGTACTTGTGCTACTGGATATCCACAAGGTTAAAACGGAAGTTAACCATCAAAACCAAGAGTTCCACTCGAGCAATTTTCCCACTGATTATATTTACAAGATTTTATTACGTATATATGTATGTCCATAAAGCGGAGCACCGTCGGCCGTAATTCACAGCATAACCCGTTTACCTACTGCCTTCCTAAGTATATTTCCCACTGCACTGCTTATTAGCCATAGACCTTATATCTGCTCAAAGCCAAGACTATACGAGATCGGCTATTTAATTGCCAGTACTTATAACCATCTACCGTAAACGTTATTTTTTCTCATAAACATTTTTTTCTTACAAAAATTCATCTTCCCACGTTTTACATTATCCTTGCCACGGTGGATTTTTTTATTTTTGTCCTGACGCCAATTACTTATGACATATTTTCCTGTAGTGCGTGCGAATGTGATAACCAATGTACATATACACATGCTCAAGGTACGCCAATGGATAAATATCCATTGGTTGTTCAATATTAAACAACTAATACAGAGAATTCTGTTTTCCAATGTTTAGAATGCCATCAAGGCGAGTTTACAAGGACTTTCAGATGACACGTGGGCGTACGGCAGCCACTTAGGCTAATGATCCTGAAATTACGTGGAATCCATCGATTTTGAAAAAGTCCTGTTCCACATTTTCTCACAGCCCGCGACCTCAAGTAGCTCGAGTCCGTTAATTCCCAACGTACGTAGGATGTGCGAAGCGTAATGATCGTTCGATTAAATTTCTCAGCCACATCGATATGAATCGATTATATTTAACCTGCTAATTTCACTCGTATACGCAAACAAGGCTTGACGACGCCATTTTCTCGCACTCGTTCGCGATGCGTGTCAAAGCGTTTGCGCCGCAATTACAATGAAATTCTCGTAGCCAACTTGGCAACAGTAGGCAGGATCGATAGGTAAATTTTGCCCAGTGATTCTCGATGGGTACTCCCAGTTTTATTTTTTTTTCTCTCCTGTAACGTCTTTTTCCATTACAGATTTCAACTCCGCGTTTCTACATGACAAGGGGGCTTTTTTTCTCATACGGTCGTCAGGAGTGTCCTGTAGACTCGTGAAGAGAAATTTATGTAATTTTTCTTTTCTTCCTCCAACAGTGTAAATAATCGAAGTCTTTCGTTGCGTCATGCGAACGGGTAACGAAGAATACACGACGCGTGAATGCGTATCTGAAATATTCTGCCTCTTGTTGTTAATGCACTCGACAATTTTTTTTTTTCAAAAACTTTTTTTACTGCGAATGCCAATTTGCATTTGTGATAAATTAACAGTGGTCTCGAGGCTTGACAAATTCTATATGGAAATTCGTACTTACTAGAAACTCCTTTGACGGACTGACCGGCGATTACGCGTATCGGAGACCAAAAGAGGTTAGGCGTATTAATTAACGATAATTCGTATAGCAAGTATGATTTATATATTGCCGAAGTATCTCGTGGTATAATACGTCAATTTTAAAATGATCAAATGAAAATATTTTACCAAAGTTCCATTACGTTCTATTTCCTAGTAATTAATACACAGTGTCGCGAATGACATGGACTAAAAAATTTCAATTTGCATCACTGACAAAGTGGATTATCGACACGTGCATTTTATTCACTTTCTTTTTAAATTTCACTTTCGCTAACGACACTCGAAATTTACTTTTTTAATGACTCATCTAAAAAATACTCAAAATATCGTCATCGTTCGATACGCGAATCGCGTTTCGCGATGAATATATTGGAAATTCGCGCGTTTCATATTCGCCACAGGTGGCTTATTCCTGTCCGCTGACACACACCGTAGCCCCCAGTCCGTCCATGAATTACGCAAATGCAAACGCTACCGGCGCAAGAGCGTCGAGAGGCGATATTCGAAGAGTATTGAATTTTACGATGACCAAAATTTAAAAATTACCCCCCCAAAAAAAAAAAAAATATTACATTCACAATTTTCCATATACCCAATAATTTCAACTACGTACGGTACGTTTCGTGAGAGTGCACGTGCATTTTTAATTTTTCAATTTTTTTTTGTCACACTCAATTCTATCACAATTTTCGTATATCCCCCCGCACTACGCAAACACGTATAATTACGCGTGAAAATTTTAATTAAACGGCAATTAATATATTCATAAAATCGTACGGTACATCAGGATAATTGAGTCTCGCAATGTTAATCGTAAAATATTCCTCAGGGATCCTTTCAAATACATCACTTTACGATCCTAATACCGTAAGCAGTGCCTACAGAGCCACGACCCATTTACTCTATGAGAGCGAACAATCGAAACCCGATGATAATCGGTCGCTATAGGGTGGCGATTAAAGACAATGATTTTTTTGTTACCATAGCAAACAAGGGTACTTATGTTATTGACAAGCAAGAAAACGTATTCCGTCGAAATTTGTCGGCATTGCCATGAACAGCAAGTACCAGAACCAGCTTACCGACGAAAAATAATCTTTTGGGTAATACTCTGGAACAATGACCCTAATCGAGTATAATGACGATCTATAAGAATCGGTATATATAAACCGTACAAATGATGTAGCCTGAATTGAACATTTCTACAATCACCCGGGTAGGTTAATCTGCTGTCTGTATTCTATGTCTATAGTTATGAACGAACTATATATATATGCCGTATATAGATTTCTATACTGATATATTAATAATACTTGTTTCTTTACTATTTATCTATGCATAGTGTATGCTGGTCTGTATTCTATGTCCATGGTTATGAACGACCTATATATACTTATCTATATGCTGTATATAGATTTCTATACTGGTATATTAATAATACTTGTTTCTTTACTATCTATGCATAGTCTATGGTTCTGTACTGTACTGTGTATCACTATATATATACACGGTATACCATATAAACTGTGTCATACACTTTTGCCACAGGCTAATTTACGTTGATGGCTGCTAATGATCATGATGATGATGTCTTTGATACTTCTGAGTACAATTCTTATGGATGAAAAATAAAAATAGAATACGAAGGAACACGTCCTGCGTAGACGGGGTGGCGAGGGAGGTAATGAGATTTTTTTAAAATATCAATTCTGAAAAATGACTCGCTGGTAAGCACCGAGCATAAATTCTGTTCGGTCGCGAATCATGAATCATCATGGAAATTTTGGACTCGAATCGATGTTAGTAAGTCGTAGGGAAAAGATTGAATTAAAGTTGAGTGTGAAGTTAGGCGCTGATTCGAGGGGAGTAATGATTCTCGAGCGAAACGACCTGTACAGTTGTTATGAAAAGTATGTGTAACGGGTGAGTCTGGATTTATAAAGGTATCCAGTTCCTCGAATAGACTTACGCGTACGGATACTTTAAAATACATTTTTTAGACTGTTCTCGGTTGTGGAAGTATGAATAATACACGCGTACGTGTAATAAACGCTGGTACAGTAATTTTCAGTCTGTAATTGTAAAGGTTTTTCGTAATACGCGAAATACGATAAAATGTTATTAAGATTACAAAAGTTCTTGTATCGTATCTCTGTTTGTACAGTTTCAATATTATACCACGTGTACGGCCGCGCAATACTTCGTAAATGCGTTACATGTTTTGACGATTGGCTCTGGTGCAGAAGCAAGAGAATGTATAACTGTGTGGCTATAATTAAAAAAGCAAAAGCTTTGATAAAATATTCAGAGTACATGAATACCAACATTGAGTAATTTTGATCACGGGTATAAGAAGGGAATTTGAAGGTTTTGGTGTTAAAGAAAAGCTGGGAAATTTGAAAAAAAAAAATTTTAGTCTCATCGGTTATGCTGGAGTATATACGTATAATGCTTGAAGGGTTAATATATGGAATAAGCCGACGAGTGGCGCTAGTATAGCCAGGGGACAGTATTCAAATTATTATAAGATGCGCCAGGACTATCATGAAGGGACCAGAGTGTAAAAGGGACTAGGGATATATATGTATATACGGGAAGAAGGAAACGGATGCCTAGGGGTAGTGCTACTAGGTAGCCTCGAAAATCGATATGGCCGGGCTGGGATTCCGGCTGCTACCTCCTTACTCGATATTCGAAGCACGCTTGTACGAGGCAGAATACTTGAAAATTCAATGTTCACGTGGCTATATCGTTATCCTAATAGCCTGGGCTATCCCATTCGCGTGAAGCAAGCTGATTTCTTCTGTCAGAGTTTAAAAGATCGATTTTCGTTATACGTGGATAGATAAATCCAATATGGCCGTACGACGAGACTGGTCGATAGAAAAAAAAAAATCTAATTAACGCTTAGAATTCACTTTTTGGACAAGGAGAAAAAAATTCTCATAAGATCGTTCCGTATATTTTCTTAAGATCAGACTTACCAACGGGAGTAGAAATGACTTGGTTTAACCGTACAGATCCACTATTGAAAATATCCTGGTAGAACTAGTGTCAAGCGAACGACTGTGAGGCCCAACGAGTCCCAAAGACTGTGAGTCATTGTGTCGATCTAGAAAAGAAAAAAAAAAAAAAGAGACAATGTGCTGTAAAGTAATGAGAGCCCGATCCACGGGGTCTTAGTATGCAGCGGAGACATAGGAGGTCTCCGAGCGAGGAGAAAGGAAAGATACGATCTGGTACATACGTAAGAAATGAATAAAAAAAATGTATAGAGATACTAAGCTCTGTTGGGGCCTGAAAAGAGTTCGGCTTCGCTTCTACTCCTGACTGGGGTCCCTCGATCGAGCCTGGTCCGCCTTTTGTCTACGTTGAGGTTAAGTACGCTCGATGAAAGAAAAAGCAGACAAACGTCGTCTCCAGCTTATGATAAAAAGACTGGATTCGTATTCGGGCTATCCTGAATATTATTTTATTACCAAATATGTATCTTACTCGTTATTATATGGATCTTGTAATTGTATGCACGAATAAACTTAAATCTGACAGATATCATTCTGAACTTCGAACCGTTATACATTTTCCAACCGAGAGACTCCCATTGAATTTCTCCATAAAGTGTTACTACAGTATTTTGATCGTGTAGACTGGACTCAACTGTTTGGTATAGGGACCTCTGGAGTTCTCGGCGTGGCTGACGTCCCGGCTTGTTTCTTTTATTGCTTCAGTGGCGCTCAAACGTCTAGTCCTACGTGCGCGTCTGTATTCGAAGGCGTCAGTGACTCCATTTTGACTACGTGAGTCGAAGCACGCGTTGTCGCCAGACGTAAATAATCGTTTGAAAAGTGAGATATCGTATTAATGGATACTGCGTCGAGTAAGGAATAACGATTTTATTTATTTCTCATGGATTTTCAATCATTTAATTGCCAGTTTATATACTGCAACGATATATCAACTGCGGACAATATACCCACGGAGTGCTACGTAAATTTGACGATGCTTACCGGAACGTCAAACTAATGAGGACTTGCAACGATAAAAGTCATAACAATCAGTACGACAGACTGGCTTTATTTTTTTCTTAAGAAATTGTCGAACTGCGCGTGTCTGTAGTAAACGTAGTTCATGGTCGTAGCAGCGTATCGGCACGTTTTTAAAGTAGGCTTAACAACATTAGCCGAGGTAACAAGGCGTCGTCTCGTCAGACATGTTTCTCGAGCTGGCTTTATAATCTCCTCGTGTATATTGGACGTACATTTCCGCTACTGTCACTCCGAGGATATATTAATATATACAGACTACATTTAGATACGTCCGTAGAACCTAGATAGGCACGTTAAAATAGTCAATTACGAATTAGAAGCGTACGCGAGAGGTACGCCATAGACTTCCTCCTGGCGGCGAAACGAGGAACTAAAATTTTCAAACGGTTCAAACAAACGAAGTCGCTACGGAGCGAACGCTTATTCATGTATACATTTATAATTCTTGCCCCGTACAAGGTACGAATATTTTTCTTTGCTCGTTGAAACATGCTGATCACTCACGACCGCTCAAATCGTGTGCTTAATTTCTTAGTCACGTCAAAAACAAATAACACTAGTCGCTCGTAAAGGTAATGGCTCTTGACATTTTCGAGAATTCTCGAGGAACGTTGGCCTTGAATTTTTCTAGCAGAGAATCCAGCACAGATAACAAATACTATTGCTGACACTGACGCCCCACGATGATAATGATGATCAATGACCTAAGTGAATGGAGAACGAAGTGAAAAAAGAACGTGGGAGAGTGTGTAGTGGATAGTATATATATATATATAAAATAAGATGGAGCCACCATGTAAACAAAAATATATGCGTGGGATTTACATAAGATCTATCTTATACACTAAAATCTGACTTTAAGAGTAATAAACAGTGTCTTTCTCTTTCCCATTCATCCAGCCGGTATAACAAGCACTGATCTTACCACTGGCTCAACTCTACATTATTTATATCCACTTAATTCAGTCGCAATCGCACCGAGGCGACGCCAATATATTGAGCAGAGAATTATGCCTTTTTCGTTATCTCCTAGTCCCGATCATCCTGACGCAACAATCGTACTAGAAAGGGACGAGAGTTTGATCGCATCCTAAGAAAAGGAAACTACGTAACTCATAGTCCTGAAACGGGTAGGGAGTGCCAACTGGAATTGGTCTGTGTAAGGAATTATCAGATTATCAATTATACAGGCATTAAATTACGTATGTTATCCACTTATATATATATATATTGTATAAGTTTACATTGTAAAACGATGAAAACGAACAAGCATAGTCAGACGGATAATAAGGCCTCGTGTACGGGGCATACAATTATTAGTACACGAATGTAGAAGGGGTCTAGTCCGATCATTCACGAACATTGCCGAACTTTCACGAGTCTAGTTTACGACGGTCAAGGGCCTGAGAAATATCTCTCCGGCTTTACTTCTAGTCTCTACGACGGGTTTCCCTGATTGTATCTTTGAGGTTAGATCGGTGATGCATCGTCTATGCGATCCGAAGCTTGCCGAGTACTCGCGAGCATTCACGAAGTCTTACCTCGCGTGGATCTCGCAACCCACGTAGCGTGGGTACGATATACGATAGAAGAATCGTAACGATTGAGTGATTCTCGTTAAAAAAAAAAAGGAACGAGAATAATCACTATAAATTCAAGTTGTACCGTCAACAATTTATATTCTTTTAAAAGCGTACGAACGAACCACGTGTATTTCGAACCGTCCCAATTCCGCGTACCGTATGTCAGCCAAATATGTCTGGCCGAAATGGCTCTGGCAGTTCGCGCACATAGAAAACAGTACACGGTTTATATTTCGCGCGGATGAGAAACGCGCCGTTAAGATCGAAAAATCTTATAGTAATTTACGTACGAATATTTGTATGGTACAGGTTATGGAAAAACCGTCATTCGAACGTGTATGTACCTTGCGTAAGTTGTGAATTTGACTAAAGCAGTCGCGCCGTAATGCCCTAGTCGATTGCTGATAAATATGGCCGTCCTTTTCTTTCGTAAACATAAAAGTCTCAGAAAATCCTCAGGTATTCAGCGTTACGTTACACCGAATCGCTTCGTCGCGGTTTATTACGAAGAATAACGACGGGGCAGAATTCGTTGGCGTCACGTGTAAGTGGCAGTGATACAATGGTAAACGTTCGATAAAAATGATCGCCGTCTCGACTGCGTTTGGCTCTTCTATACTCTGTGACTTGTCTATGGCTATGGTAAATACCGAGTATTTTCAGTGACAGTCATTTTCAAGACTTCTATTTCACGTCCGTGAACGCCCACGAGAAACGAAAGAATTTCGAGGAAACTATTTTTCGAGCAGCGTCGTAACCGGCTCACGTTCGTCAGGGTGAGATTTTCAAAGATTTCTTTAGCCACAGGCCACGCACGCATACAATGACGACAAAGCCGTGAATTACTCGTGCGGCTTGGAGTATCGAAGAATTTATATCTCACGGCGTGTTTGCCATTGGTGAAAACGCCAGGAGCCACGAGTTGACCTTAATCAACGACCGGTCTGGAACGCCGAGATTCTTCAACGACCTGAAATACAATTTCAGAAGCGCAGGGTTGCCGATGCTGCGGGCACTTCGAGGAAGCGTCGTCGCTATCTCTGTGTCGTCCTCGTGTTTTTCAGTGAGCGTCTTGGCCTTTTCGAAGCGACGCGAAAATTCAGGATGAAGGTACGCGAACGCGAATCAGAGTAATATCGGATTAATAATCGCGCGGAGACCAAAGGGATCAGGTGGGTAGACACTTTATTTATGAAAATAAAATATCAAAGAGATTTACTCGACGGCAATATGAACGGCGATAATCAGCAGACGGATTCACTTTGAAATTTCTATAGAAACTATTGAGATCCGCTCTCTTTTAGGACATATTCAAAACAGGCACAGATCTCTGCTAAAGATTTCCCACAATTCCTTGGGCGTAATACCAGAGTCAGTGTGAACGTAGGCGCATATTGAATGTATTTCGAAATTCAGTTGTCACTTTGAGCGATGCCGATTGGTCGTCGGAATCGTCATGCGATGTGCTGTTTCGATCCTTCGCGTGATACTGATTGGCCACGTGCAACGGGACTATATAGAAGCTAAGAGCGTAGAGTGCGCGTTCATGAGTTCTTTGTAGATATAAAAATCCTCCGCTAGATGGAGGCAGCGTCGACTGTCATTTTCAATATACGAGAAATCAAGTACCCAACGCTAGCGAGTACTTGGCAAAATGCAGTCTACACTCTCAGGATCGTCCGGGCATTACAGCAACGAGCTTCTATTGAAGCAATCACTTTTTATTATTAATAATTCGCCATTTGCACACTGCAATCCATGGCCCATTGCGGAGTCTGCTTTAACGTAAGTATTGTTAGACGTGAACGTACAAGTAGAACCGGTGTGAACAAGTACGTAAGTAATCTACAGGGTGACCAGTAAAAAGTATCATTGGACAGATCGGCACTACGATAGAAAATTATTAATAGGGGGGGAAAAAAAAATATCCGTCACTCTGTCATTTTCGAAAAGTACATACGGAATCGACCACGTGTTTTCACACAATCATTAACAGACTATCCAAGTGAGACTGTACCTTCGGTGACGGACAGCCTTGAACTTGGAACTATCTGCTATTTTTAAAGTTTCTCAAAACTTGCCAACTACGAAAAGCTTGACAGATTTACTTTTCAATTTCTATTTCGCGATCAGCGATAACTATTAGTACAGCACCTGGTATGCTGGCATCCAATGTAATTCTGTTTCAATAATTATTCATCCATAGCTCTCACGTGTTATCCCTCTAATCTCATTATGACGTAAGCTTATGACGGCACTTTGATTGCCATTCTAATTAACATGTTATATAATGATTCCGTAAAAAAATCGATTTTTCAAAAATCCTCCTTTATCGTCTCAGGACAAAGCGAATGACGTATATCATTTTTTAGGTATGTACAATAAGACCTAAATTACGCTTGGCATTCAATGCCTCGCGTGGTAGGCAGCCTTTTTCGATATTTCCGTAATATATATGTGTATATAAATGGAAGAATAACTGTGCAAGAAATCGACGCGCTTCGGTACTCTTCGCAAGAGTATGACTCACTTTGGCAAAGTCTGTAAAAAGTTTCATGACTGATCGTGCACTAACGATAGGTGACTAAGATAAGTGCTACATAGCTGTTATGTATAGGGTGATACAGGATAGACGTTGGCATTGTAAAAAAAAAAATATTAAAAAAAAAAAAGACAAAAAAAATGGGACTCGAGTAAATCGAATAAATGGTTAAAAAATTATACTATATAAAATCTCGTTAGATACGGGATAGAGGAACAATTAATCTTACGATTAAGAATAAATTATCGCCGATAACAGTCATTGATTGGTGCGTACGATATAGAGTGACGTAATCGGCGCGTGTAACCGCAAAGACAGAAAAAAGTGCATCGACTGTTAATTGCAATTAAAGATGAAATACGGTCACGCGATTTCGTTGAAGCGTGAATAAGAGACGAAGGAAGAAGAAAAGATCGAAAGAAAAAAGAAAGTATTAATTTAAAGTCGAATTGCGATAAAATCGCGTGTTGCGATTCAAACGGGACGTCACCGGGTTCCGCAGGTTTCAGACGTACAGTCCGAGTGAGAAATATGTATCTTCGATCAAGACGCCCGGCGAATCGACGTCTATCCTTCGCATAGAAAGTTATTCAAACCGGAAGTCAAGACGATCAGTCCAAGTTTCCGATAACCCGAGTTATCTTTTGTAAATGAAACGCGACTGCGGTCGTTTCTGTGAATTTTTCACGTAACCTCATTGATCCGCTTTGATTTTCCTTCGGAGCCTCCCTTCTCTTAAATGTTCTAGAACATTTATACAGCGCTTTGCCGTATCTGTTCGGAACGCTGTCTCGTGTCGCGCGGGTATCGTCCTAGTTTCGTTCAGGTTGGACAAAATAAATTGGTACGGTGTGAATGGGACTTCGACGATTGCCGTTAGTATCGCACGCGAATTTCACACGAATAAACGTACTCGCCCGATGGACTATTTTCTTTCGATCTGTTCTCGTTGAATTGGATGTTTTCAATAAACGAGGTTGCAGCTCTCGTACGTGTCGCAATTTCGCTGTCTTGCGAAATGGATATCAGCATTGTTCAGATATAATTTTACTTAATTGTAAACTCACCATTAAACCTTGATCCGCAAAGTGGAACCATTCGTCATCGGAGCGAAACTGAAAATAGATAAAACGAGATTAGCGTAAATGACGAGCAAAGAGTAGAATTAAAGAAGTGATCAAGCTTTGCTTGGTAAAGACGAAAGAAAAAGAAGAAGAAAGCAAAAGGGGGGAATGGGAAGAAAAATAATAAGAAAGTTCATTAACGTCCGAGATACTGGTGTTGAGGACTCGGTGTAAGGATCAATGAAGATTGAAAGGCATACAGGCCGGATGTGACGTAACGACGAAATTATGAAGGTAGACATATCTCCTTGTGCCTTATTTTCCAAGGCGAGTGACGAAAAAGATGACGGAAAAAAGATGTTTTTACAAAGGTATGACGAATTAGAAATATACTTTTGAAAATCACTAGTTAAATGTTAGATTTAATAATATATATATATATATATATATATGTACTTCAAGATAAATTCTATGCCTTTGATCCGCTTGGTCTTAGACGCAGTTGGGGGCTTCTTGAGCGAATTTAGCTGATAACAAAGAACAGGTGACCGAAGATTCACGAAGATTTACGAACGCAGGTAGACCCCTTCGTTTCGAATAATGATTTGACTTATGGAGCAGCTGCGACCCGAAATTACATCCTTGGACTTCTTTCTTCAAGGCTTTGCCATGGCTACGTGATAAAAAGTGCCATGGCTGAGTATTCATAATAGCTGGGAAGTTTGCTTTGTTTTTTTTTCTTTTTTTGAAAACGTCGGTAATTTCTATGTGAACGACTTGCCGGCTATTGTGACTATCCAATATCGTATATTTCGCATCTATACTCATTGGTAGTACCAGTGACAGTTTTGGGCAATATAAAAATGGCAAAAATAGGAGAAGAAAAATAAATAGCGCATAACCTATGTAGAGTAAGTAAAATGCGATTGAAATACACGTGAAAGCTGATAAAAGAACAGAAGGGACATCCTATTGCGATACCAGTGATGATATAACCCGCGAGAAATTCAAATCGCATCCGCCGCTTATTTCCGTTAGTCGCCGCAGAACGCGCCACCGTACAATTCTAAGAAGACGAACGGCAGTCGTAATTTTTCCGTTTGTTTTTCCATGTCTGGGAAGTTAGCCCTCCATAATTCGAAAATTCCGGTTCCGTTGTTTGTTCTGAGTTGCTCTAAGTTTGTTCTACAATGTTCCAGAAAAACAAGTTTCTCAATTGAAATTTGTAGCGATGAGGCGTAAAAAAAAAACACTTTTTTTCCCGGAACCCCCCACTTATGGAAAATCAAACTTTTTTTGTTGTTCAAGGTTGTTCCAGTTGTTCTAAATGTCGTTCCAGAATATTAATACCGCTAAGTAAAGAATACTCGAATGGGATCAAAAAAACGTTTTATGCATATAAAATTGTTTCTTCCTACTTTTATCCAACTTGCGACTACCCGATCGTTATACAATACCAGAACAATCGTCGATAGACCGAGAACAACTTGGAGCAACCTAGAAAAACCTAGAACAACCTGGAACATCCTGGAATAACCTGGAAATCGTTCGAAATGGTCCTATATCCACGTGCTATTCTGAGAGCGTTTGTCCTACTCAGGTTTTCCAGTGTTTCCCTGGTTTTATGTGACTGTCCTATCTGATCGTGTTAGAACGTGGAACAACGTGGAACAATCTAGGAAAACCTAGAACAAGCTGGAATAGCCTGTAAATCGTTCGAAATGGTCCTATATCTACTTGCTACGCATAAAACGTTTTTTTGCTTCCATTCGAGTATTCTTAACTTAGCGGTATTAATATTCTGGAACAATATTTAGAACTAGAACAATCTGGAACAACAAAAAAAAGTTTGATTTACCATAAGTGGAGGGTTCCAGTAAAAAAGTGTTTTTTTTTCTCGCCTCATTGCTATAAACTTCAGTTGAGAAACTTGTTTTTCTGGAACATTATAGAACAAGCCAGAACAAAGAGTAGAACCGGAATTTTCGTATTATGGGGGGCTAACTTCCTCCACCCTGTTTTTCCCTCACGTACAATTTTATCCGCGGCATAACCTCAAAATTCTCGCGAGTGCTCTACCAAGGATATCTTATTATAGTCGGGTTCTCAATTGGTATTCGAATATTTCGCGAGTACGCGTAAAGTGGCGAAAGAAGAGGCAAGTGAAATCCAAAAATACATCAACCCACGTATTAACCACTTAATATTGTCTTGCGACGAGAAAATCATTATCGTACAATCGCAAAAAAAGTTCCTACAAAAATATTACGTCGATCCTCACAAAATACTCCTCGATTCCACGCACCTAATCGACACGACATTTATTAATTATCACGAATGATTCCAACCACGCGAAATAATACGAAAACGAGCAACATAACCTCTCCCGCACGTGACATGGTTTCCACACGATATAACACAAGCACTTACGTGATGAGTTGTACATAACCTCAAATCCAGGATAATACCAGCTAACGAGCTTCATTACACGTCAGTTTACCGTCACGGTCAGAGTATAAACTGAGATATTTAAATTTTCCAAAAGGAAAATAAAACATTGAAATTCAACGCGCCGCGGCGCCGTTCACGGGTATGATAATTTTATCGTACGATTAATCGTTTTTAGGAACCCGAAGACTCTATGGCCATCGACAGTTTCTTATTATCGTCAACAGTTTTCGTGTACAGAATGTTATTACAAGATCAGTACCGGGTTATCTCACACGAAGTTGATACGATGCCTACGTTATCCGCTACGTAAGCTTATAAAATGTTTTGTTTATCAAATATATATGTATAGGACGCGTTACAAAAGTATATATATGTATACAGTCCTATTTCGAATAATGAAACGATATTGACTTCCTGTAAGATACTACCGAATTTTCGACCGATCGATCATACCTAAGAATCATTATATATAAATCTAACAATTAAGTATACCGATGGTCTTTGCTTTAGGGAATAATGAAATATTTATGAAATTATTTAAGAAGTGAGTTAAAAAAAAACATATTTTTTAAATATATACAAATTTACACAATTTTAAATGCTAATTTAATACGTCTTATCGATGATAACCTGTTAATTGGGTGTCTAACTGTAAACCGGTTGACTGTTTGATTATCTCGTTGAAATAAAAAGCAATTAATTACAGAATCAAATTGACACGTTACTTTCGATTCAGATTTACCCTGAAATTAGCCTGCGGTCTGATTACTGGCGTCGCAATTAAATGAAATTTACAATTGCGCAATGGACGATTATCCAAATTCAATGACGATTTAGATTTTGGAATTAAATCTCGATAACGAGATACGAATGCCACTTGAATTCCTTTGTCATCGTACAGACTCGTTCTGGATTCAAATTCTAATGAAGTCCCTACGTCGTTAAATCGATTAGCAGAAAACGAGATAATAAAGACTTAAATAAAAATCAGCTCGGTGTACTCAAAAATTAGTTTGTAATCTGATGGAAAAAAAATTACGTCAGCCGTAAGTATTTATTATCTATGACGCTTGATCGCGACGTTACCGATTCCACTAACCGATGCATATATACCATACATATATACAAGTAACACTATTTTTTGAATTAAATTTGCATTAACATCGAACTGAGATCGGTATCGGTGATAGCGTGTAAAATACGACACGTGCATATGCGCCGATCCTCATGCATGTTAAAGGGTAATGCTTATATGGTAATAGCGGAATTCGATTTACCGATCGAACGATTCTTGACAAATGTGTCACTTGAAAAACAATCATACAGGCTTAGTCAGTAGAAACGCACCAGCAGAAGTTGGCCGCAAGTGACCGACACGGCAGTGTGGCCTCTTCAAAAAATGACACGTGACTGTGACCCATTCCCATAAGCACAAACTGGCAGTTCGCATAGCAATAAGTTTATTGAAATATTTCAATAGTTAGGATACTGAAATAATTAATTAATATTGCAATGACAAAATATAATTTAAAATTTATTTTCACAACAGATTGCAATTAAGATAATGTAAAGAGTAAAATATTCACAATTTTGATATTTCCAAGTAACGATCACAGCTGCAATTCTGCAATACAATGCTGCAATTAATTTAAAAATTAATTAATTGAAATGTTTGTATAGCAAAAAATCTGTTGTGAAAATAAACCTTAACTGAAATTATATTTTGTCATTACAATAGTAATGAATTATTTCGGTAATCTAACTATCGAAATATTTCAATAACCTTATTGCTATGCGAACTGTCAGTTTGGGCTTATGGGAATCGGTCGCAGTCACGTGTCACTTTTTGAAGAGGCCCCACTGCCGTGTCGGCCACTTGCGGCCAACTTCTGCTGGTGCGTTTCTACTGACTAACCCTGTACACTAAAAGTGCCACTCACGACCGGCCACTCGCAATGCTTATTTTCTATGTGTCGTTGCATAACGATTATTCCCCAATCAAATTTTATTTCTCTATCAGAACTATTTTATCGTTCCATTAAGAGTTCACTTCGATCGATTATACACACTGTGACCATTGTTCTGTTTACGCTATTACTATATATACTTTCACGCTCTTTATCAATCCTCTACAGATCCGGTTTTCATAATGGAGTTTAAAATCGTCTCTTTTTTTTTCTCTTTCTTTCTCTGTGTCGTTTATGGTTCTCTCTCTCCCTCTCTGTATCACCGCTTCCGAAAGTCACCGTTACCCACGATAAAATTATTCCTAACTCCTCGATAAACGTTGCCGAATTAAACACGGTACACAACGCAGTTTCGAAAGAGCTATATATTCTTGGAATAAGATTTTTTGAAAAATACAGTCGACAAACCATTGCAGGAAATTTTGGAAAGTTATTAATCTCAAATTATACATTGATTTTGATATTACGCTAGATTTCTATGTATTCCTTATGCAACTGTGTATAAGTTATTATCTAATCTGTCGTATGACAATTTTACGACTTACGATAGAATATATCTGATAGTTATTAATGGTTCGATAACGCTATTAATTCCAAGTTAACAAAAATTTTTTGTTTACCAAAATCCCAATT